ACGATGAGGTGATTCAAGTTGTCTGGTTCTTTGCTTGATTGATGTTATGCTCTGCAGTGTGGAAGTGCCATATGGCTCCCATGTCGCCATAGGTCCCTCCGGGCATTCTGTGAGTCCAGCAATCACGATCACCTGACCGCATTGAGTTTCATTCCATGTGCGCTGCCTGTCTCAGCCACCGAATCGAAGTGAACACCACATATCAGCATCTCTGACATCCCTGGTTTCCTCAGGCGCTACATACGCACATTCATATTCCTTCCAACACTTCTGCATAGAGCCTCCAGCTATGGCGATGAATATTGATTCTCGATTGACATGTTTCTCACCTCACATTTACACTCTTACACTCATATATTTACTTACCTATCAACTCATTACAGACCTTTTCTTTTTTCATCTATGTACACCAACACGACAAGTGATAAGCCAAGCCAAGTCTTCGGCCTTCTCGGACTACACTGGCGATTGAGCCGACTGGGGCCTGGACACCCATGAGTCAACGTTGAGCAGCACAACATGCTCTCCCTATTTCGTCTTTGCGTAACTCCTGGTTGGTTCGACCGCGAGGGTTTTGCTCTAGCAGAGGCACATATATACCAAGGACTCTTCATTTATATCTGCACCGATCATATTTACTCTCGTTACCTGTTGTTACCGCTGTCATGTACCGGGGTTCGCTCCTTGCTTCCCACCACCATCATCGATTTTCCGAGTCAATACTGAGCTTATACGATCCCTCCGAGCTGAGTTTATCTTATTCCGAGTCTATATTCCTTTCTACTCATACTCCAAATTCATCTCCTCAAGCTCTCAGCATTCTACGGCACACTTGCATACATTGCCCCAGCACGACCAGCACATCCTCTGTCCACCACTGGACACACCCCAACTTCTACACCAGGCCTGGAGATAGATATTATGTTTTTAATCTGGTTCTGGTAGTCAACTTGCTTTTGTAGCCGTTCATTTAATGGAATTTGGTTTCAATGCTTTGGATTTCTGTTTTGGAAAGAGTTGGTAAATGTGAATGTGAATGCTTTTACATTTAACTCTGGAAGCAATAAATGCCAGACTTCATGTAACACTTACATGGGATTCATGAATAAATGAATTCCCTTAACCTAAAACACTGTGAAGACAGTCGTACTTTGTTCGCAGTCGTTGAATTCCGATAGGGATGACCAGATACGAAAATCCTCCGAAATGTAGTGAGTAAATTACACTATCTGTATTCCCCAGTCATTTAGATCACTGGCAGCGTTTGGCAAGTTGCAGGTGCTGCTTCGCCATCCCTACGTCCCAAAGTTATCTGCAACTTCATTTTGAATGATTATTATCTGGAATGAATGCCCCTGCACCATGGATTGGCCGCATGTCTCATTTTTGACAAAAACAATGAGCCTGAAATCAATCCCTCCCAAATCAACCGTTTTGCAAATTTCATTCGCTGATAAATCGGATCAAGTTCAGAGGCCAGGACTGTCTTTGTTTAAGTTCATGCCTATGGTCATATTTCGTTGTCGAAACTTGAATAAAACCAAGTCCTCGGACGGTGCATGCAAACCCAGAATTTAAGAAAGCTTAAGCGAACTTGAATTTCAACTCCATTTGAACATTCACGTGATCCCTATCAATGGCTGTGCTTGCTGTGATCTTTACACGCTGTAGAGAGCAAAATCTCGATCTAGGTAAAAAGGCTAGCAGAAGGTAGATAAATCAGTAGCTCAGTCAAAATTTGTGGAAAGTTGATCATTTCTTTTGAAACGAAACTGTCATAGAAATGTGAACAATCAGATGCTGTTTCAAAGCCAAGATCTTTATTCACTTTCAGCGAGGTAAGAAAGGGCTGCTGAAAGATCAAATTTCTGCAGCCATTTGCAGTGATAAGAAAGGAAGTCTTTCAGTGGTCCTTTCCCAAATTCCTTTCTTTGATATTCCTGTGCTCGAACAAAGGAATTTGGAAAGGACCACTGAAAGAACAACTTTCTTCTCATTGGAATTGGCTACTGAAAGATGAGTGTTCAGCAGTCCTCTCATACATAGGTGATAATGAATCAATAAGTGTGTTTGGAAGCAAGCCCTGATTGTTGCTATTCTTGTAACAGTTTCACAGCATATAGATAGATTAATTCTACGAATTTAGATTTTGCCACCAATTTCACTGTTTTCTGCGGCTGCGTTACTCCCTGGCGTGCTGGGGCAATCATTTGAGGACAACAGTGCCCAATATGTCTTGCCCGCTAGCTCGCATTCACTTCAGGCTACCCTTATGACCTACCATTAGGGATAGTTCCCACCTCATGGAATAGCTATCCCAAGGGCCTCGCATCTGAGAGGTTCGTCTCCCCTGTGTGGGATGTCCCACTGCTCAGCTAGGGACATCCCACTGCTTGGTGAGGGATGTGCAGCCCGCCACAGGCCAGCCAAAAAATTGCCTTTTTGAGCAGTTATAGTTGGGTATATCCTGCTTATAAAAAAGCATTTTCCTCCACTGTTCTGCATTGGTCCTCCACTGCCTTATGTGTCAGATGTGTCTGTGCTTCCCCCTTGCGAGTCTGCACCTACTACCTTGGCTGACTGCACCTCTGCATTGCCTGTTGGAACGTGTCTCTACCTACTGCCTTGCTCAAATATGCACTTAGTGCCCTGGTCAAATGTGCCTCCACATTGCCTGTCAGAATGTGTCTCTGTTCAGGCAAGCTGTGGGACATGGGACATCCCACCTCAATTGAAGGGACGTCCCACCCAACCCATGGAGTGGGATGTCCCTGCAGATGGGACATCCCTCATCAATGACATGGGATGTCCCCCTCAGTTCAGTGGGATGTCCCCCTGAAGTAGGAATTCCCATTGGGACATCCCATCTGTAATTACATCTTGAGCAGGACATCCCACCCATAATTAAATCTTGAGTGGGACATCCCACCCGGAATTAAATCTTAGGGGGGACCTCCCATCCTAGTGTGGGATGTCCCTCTGTTCCTAGTTTCCTTTTTGGCATCATAGCGGTTGTTGTGCTATGTTGTCTTGCCATTTCCTTATTTTGGACTAGGTATATTGTATTTGCTCTGCCCTCCTGTATATATCTTCCTTGGCTGAATGGTTAGTATCTCTTGTTATATCTTACCCAATTTTTGGACCTGTCGTTTTATGTTCAACCTGCACCAAGACACATCCTTTTTTTTTGCCCCTTGTGGTGCAGTGCCAGTAGGGAGGTCACCCTATATTATTTAGAACCCTCTATGGGTGTCATGGGCTAGTGGTTAAGACACGTAAACTGTGATCTTATGTTGATATTTTGTTCTGCTCCGATGAGCATTCAAATCCCACCAAAGTACTCTTTTTATTTTACTTTTCTGCTATTTGATTTGATACACCTTTGGTACCTTACTGTGATCCTATGTTGCTATCTTACTTTATATACCTTTATCCAGTGTTCAATATTATTCTAATTTTGTCCTGGTGTTATGTCCTGGCAGATATTTGAAAAGAGCTCTTTTCAAATATTCGGGCTGAAGGTGATGAGAAGAGCCTATGGGGCCCATTTCTTTTTGTCTGTCTTGAATCCAGCTCAATCTTGTACAGTACTTCACGTACTTGAGTCATTTACCAAAAGAAAATGCATTGCAAGATGTAAGGAGATGTATGCCCAGCACTTCTGCATGCAGTTGAGTGTCCGTTGGCATCCTCGCTTGCAATCATGTTGCCTGTTCTGCGTTGTGATGTAGACTAACTGGATACTGCGTTTTTAACGCAATAGAACAGTCTTCTCGGGGTGCACCGTCGGACCGAGCTCTATAGCCTGTCGAGAGGAGACGATCGAGCACGATGCTGGCTCCGAATCGAGGACACTGAAGTGGAATATGTGATTTAGAGGGCCTCCTTGGTTGTATAGTCCGACCCCAAAGGTATTCAGTGTTTAAATCATTTAGCTGGGTGGTGGTTGTTTTAATAAGCTCGGTTCCTCGGCTCAGTGCTCCCTTCTTTAACCTCTTTCTTTATATGCCCAACCAACCATCTCCTTCTCTTCTTCTATCTGCCTGCTGAGGGCAAAATAATCCGATCAAGGCTAGCAGCTACACACCAAACTAGGCTGCATCCCTTTATTTGAGGGTTTTTCAACTATCCTCTTTTAATGAGGTCGAGGGTTGGATTGGATAGGAAGTGTAGAGCTGGGCTTTGAAAGATAACCTGACTTCACCTGTAGACGGCTTGGTGCAGGAAGGAATGTGTCCTGAAGAGCAAGAGAGTGTTTTGCCAGTGATAACAGTTTGTTTTGGGGGAGACCAAGTTGTACTTTAGAGCTTTTTACAGCTTTAGAGAATGTGGGTCCAAAACCGAGATGATTTTCTATCAGCATACAGGCTGTATTTATACTCCCCATATTCTGCAGCCGGCTCTCTCTCCTGCCTGCCCGGATAACACCACCCTCCGCAGCCCTCCTTGCTCAGCTCCTCCTCTGCTCGGCACCTAGTCATCCATCCTTTGTAATATACACTCAGCCTTTCCCCAGATGCTCCTTCTTCCCGCTTGGCAACCTGTTCCCTGTGCCTGGTAAACAAATCCCCTACTTGGTGTCTGGATTTGTATGCTCGGATGGTCTTCCCATTGGTCAGTGTCCCGAATTCTCCGCTCAGTATACATCCTCCTCGCTCGGTGTCTCCTTCCACCATCCTGGTGCACTTTATTTCCTCCAATAGCTTGGCGCAGCCCCAGTGTTGAGCGAAGGGCACTCAGTCTGCTTGTAGATTCAACATATTTGTGCTTGGAACGTGTCTTGTTTTATTCCTGCCTTTTGAGACTTTGCATCACCTGCATGGCATAGCTGGTATGTTGTTCTGCGGATATATTACATAATCCGAGGTTCGTGTGTTCAATTCGTGCCGTAGGTTTGCAACATGTCTTCTTCATCTTTTTTCCCTACCGAGCTCGTTGTCCTCGCATCACTTGCATGGCATAGATGATGTGTCAGGGAATTATTGGGTCATTCTTGCATTGCCTGTGTGGCATAGCTGGTATGTTGGCGGATTTATGTTATGTAATCCGAGTATGCGTGTTCAATTCACATCACAGTTGTTTAGGACCTTTGCCATTTTTCTTGATGCCAGTTGGTTGCACGGTATAATTGGCGTGTCATCTGACTTTTCATAGTTTATGTTTTCCATGGCTGTGGTGCTTGATATGCCCCTTTCACGCTCCCTTTTCGTATTCCGGAGCGATCACAATGTGATACAAAGTGGAGTAGCCGTGCCTCGCGGTGCCATTTAGCTTCATCCGGAGGATGGAATTTGGGACAGGGATGCACACCATAAAATACGCACTTGGAAGAGGCTCATGGAAGGACTTTGAGGAGAAAATACACAGTGGTTGATGTACAAACACTAAAGACACAGAGGAAATCAGGCATGCTATTTTGCATTCGCATGAATGGGCACCGTCGAGTTGACGTGCACACATGGCTGAGCTCAGTGCATCGTCTATGCCATTGAAGCTGGACATGCGAGGGACTAAATGGAGCTGTAAGCGTAAGGCAACACCATTGCTGACACATCACGCAAATCAGGTGAACTGTGCTTGATTACAACATTGTGGGGTGCTCGCACTGGTACCTGCACAAATCGCATCCAGGGAACTTGTGTCGCCACACATGCGCAATAAAACTCATTGGTCACCTACGCATGCAGGTGCGGAATTAGAACCACATTTACATCCAACCAAGACTGCTCAGGCTCAAGTCCGCCCTGTGTGTGCAGACACCTGAGCCGTGCTGTCAGCTCTGCTTCCAGGATTGTATGAACTATGCGCATGGCCGAGAAATCTTGGTGCCCATGCATCCGCAGTCATGGGCCAAAGCAATAGCACTTGACACCTGTCAACGTTGCTATGCAGTGTTGACCAACATCGGGCAGGTGTGAGAACGTGTCTGAATGCAGTCGCACGTGGCACAGCGGCATTGCACCCGCCACTGCACCTGCCCGCCTGATCACACCCTCATTGCCACCTGCGACGTTTAGTGCCTAACGCAACCTCTGCATCGTCTGCATCCATTGGGCACTTCCAATTGGCAGCTGTCAGGCCTATTTCTGGCATGCAAATCAGCATTACATACCTTGCTTCTGCCAGCAAACCCTGCAAAACCCATTCGACATCCTTCACTGCTGCTAGCCACTCCTCTGATGGGCTTTCCTCTTTCGCCCACCACTACACGAGAGCCAATAGGACCATCAATATTCTGTTTGCACTGGGGTGCACCAAAACCCCCCACGTTCCTTGTTTTCCTGGTACTGGCTGCCCCTTCGCATCCCACTCACACAAATCAGGTGTCAGTGCCCCCACCATGCCCACCAATCCGCAAAGAACTGGTTAACTGTGAACTCCAGTGGGTTCTTCACCTGCCGTCCACTCTTTATCCACACCTGCACTTCTGCCGGCCTGCACCTTGTCTGGAGCACCTTCGATTGCACCTCGAACGTTAGTAACCATTTTTGTCACCATTAAAACATTAAAACAATGCTTGCTGGAGTTTTGAACCCGCAGCCTCACTCCAGCGCTGTCCATCTTCTCACTGCCTCCAGCCACCCATCCCCATCTGCGCACCCTTCCAGAATTGAATACCCACCATCCACTTATCCCACCCCGCATGCTCTATTTCCCCCACCAGCTCATGCTTGTTTGCCTCAGCTATGTCCCCCCCTAGCACTTGGCTCCTGATGTTTTGCTCACCATTTCCACACCCCTGGTGTCCCCACACCTAACATGTTTGCCCCCACATCTGATGTGTTTGCACAGCAGGGGAGGAGCTGCCATGTACAGCGGGAGCAGGGGCGGGTATATCAGCACATCAGGCAAGACAGTTGCTGTCATGTCATGGACGCTTGTTCCCACACCTCCCTCGTCATTCACGTCTGGATCTTCTTCCATCTCTCACAGCTCCTTCATCAGCCCATCAATCTCTTCAGCTCCCCTGCCTTCTCCATCTTCTCCTCGTCGTTGTCAACTCCGCTGCCTGACATAACAATGGTGTTGTCTCCGTCTGCCCTGGGCAGCATCAGGGGCACAATATCCTTCCTTGAAAGCCTGTGGGACTTCCGCAGTGAACCTACTTGTGGCGGCTTCTTTTTCTTCGCCACAGGCGGCCCCTTCTTTCCTGTCTTACCAAACAAATTGCCTACATCCTTGTCCAATCCCAAACTCCGAAGCATCACCTTGTTCCGGATGATGTTGCTCTCACACCCGAACTTGTAAGGGGTGAGGTGCCCAAGTTGGATGATCTGCCAGTGTCTCTGGTCCTTCAAGACTGCTGCGAGCTCACCCACGAGCTCTGGTCTCGGCAGATGTGTTGGCGGCAACATTGGACTTTTCGTGAGGCCTGATGTGAGCGTGACAAGCGCTAGAAGCTCGGGCGTGCCTTCTAGCCACGAGTCCCGGCTGGAGGAGCTACTGCAGCTGGAGGAGGATCCATTACCACCGCTCCCCTCGACGCTCTTGTCCCAAGACTTCCCCCTCACTTCCGCCGACACCTTCTTTTTCTGGGGCCTGCCCTGCACCCCTTCCCCACCTCATCCAATCCAATGTTGACCTCAGGGCTGTCGTTGAAACACTGACTATAGAACCACTGGTGGAATTAAGTGTGCAAGATGAACACTTAAGTGAACAGCCAACAACACCAACAACAACCAACAAATCCAACTATCAAACGTGCAAGGTTCGGGGTTCCTACCAGGTATTAGGCAGTGGCAATTCGGGTTTTACAGGCAAGTGCAGTAGCTTATAACTAAAGGTGACTTCGAGACGATCGAAACCGTTCTAGGCACTTTACACGACCTTAGAGGGTAAGGAAAGTTGGGTTTTATGTGCAAGACTTGGAACTAAGCCCAAGGGGTGATCCGTAGATCAAGAGTTTTATTTCCAACAATGTATTTCCGACAACCAATGTATCAGCTGGAGTTTGGTAGACTGACTACTGCACAAAGCCGAGCGCCTTCAAATGTTTATGTGATTTTTAATGAAGCAAGTCCTGTCCTGTCCTGTCCTGTCCTGTCTGGTCTGGTCTGGTCTGGTCCTGTCTTATATCACTCCACAAATATCCAACACTTTATATATTGCAACAGAAACAACAAAAGGAAACTTTATAAGCTTTGTGAAGGTGTTCCGAATAGATGCTAGACATCCCCTGTGTGCTCAAGCTCACACTCGTGCTCACTGAAGAGGAAGGGTAGGATCTACTGGTGTTCCCTCTATTTTCTATGGGTATTTATACAAACTGGCGTTCTAAATAAGGAAATGATTCTGAAACCGGCTTTTAGTACAAACAGATAAACGGAACACGGATATATCGGGGTGATGAGCAGTATTAGCTCAAGAAATAACCCTGTCGGTAATTAGTTCCGATTAAATGGTATATTTTGGTAGATAATCTGGGAGATTGGAAGGCGAATTGCGCCATAGCACGTATGTGCCCTGGGTGGTTAATCCATGTGCCAGCTCCACCGAGCCCTGGTCCATCAACCCTTAAGTCGCCCAATTAGTCAACCCTTCAGCCCTGGTCAAAGCGAGTCCTGGCATCACAGGCCAAGGGCTCGGTACTATCTCCGACATCGGATCTCTGTTCCGTGCTCAGATCAGTGATCTCTGTGATCGGCATCATCGGATCTTCGGAATTGTTCGGCTTGTTGGGCCGCGCACGGTTCTATTATCTAGAACCGTCCCACAACCTTATTAGATCCCTCGTACATACCCCTGGTAAGTCCCATAGTCTGAATGCAGTGCATTGGTATGTCCTTGATAGGATACATGTGGCCTGTTCCCAATCCCTTGGTTAAGGATGGTAAGAACACCTTTAGCTGATAGACTAGTACTTGACTTGACAAATCTGACCCATTGTGGTGGCCATCATCTCCAAGTAAGCACATAGAGCTACTCACACATGTGTTCATCCTTAGCTAGCAACTCGGACCTCATCCTAGCTCATAGTGAGTGATATAGCCGTTATTCTATACGAAGCTCCTGCTTAGAACAGTAAAATCGAAAGACTTCACCGCTGATCACAGGGCCGGCTTATCATTGTCCTGTGTCAGGTCTTCAAGAGTGTACAATGTTGCAGAATCTGATGTTCATCTCAAATTTCTGTTATAACACAACCAGTTCACGATGTATGTGTATTTGTTTTTTCCATAAGAAACCTCATGAATTGACCCATGATGTTCCTCTTAAAGTTTTCAGGTTCCCATTCATCAAACTTGAGCCCCTGCCATCCCAGTCCTGTCATGTACATCTGTCCGAAGTGGAGGACCGTCAAAGAATGGTGCAATGAGCCTTCAGGAGGCCCCACCCCCCCAGCAACATGATGTGGTATCCCGCCATTTTCACCACTCTGTCGAGGAATGGCTGCACCACCTGCGCTATATTTTTACGACATCTGCAACATTCCTCAGTGACATACACTAAGCAGTGACTTGCACACTTACTTGGCCTGTGCCTCGGCATCTGGCATCTCTGGATTCGCCAACAACTCTGCCTTTTCTCATACTTCCTGACTACCACCTCATGCGCTTCATCCATGGAAGCTGCCAGCACCACCTGTAGGTCCTCTGACTCTGCCACCAGCAGCTCCTGTGCACACTTGCAACGGAAGTCCAAAGCGAATCTCGCTTCCAGATCCACTTGTGGCCAATCCTTCGCGAAGTCCTCGTCGACTTTCTTGGTGTATGGGTCCCACTCAATTCATGTAAAACTTGAATAGGGCTTGCTTCCGTTGTGAGGGCTGCATATGCCCTCATGTAGCATCACTGGCACAACAGGGATGAAGAAGCACAGCATGGCTATCACCAAATTGGAACACACCTGGAAACCGCATTCGGACTTCTCACAAACACGCTCCTCAACCCAGGGCATCGACTGGGACACGAACTAAAACTAATAATCCACTGCAGGCACCATCAATTTGAGCCCCACCGAGCCTCTCAGCCTGACTCCTGGTCCAAAATCACACAATTTTCTGTCCACTCCCCGACCCGGCCAAAATCCTTCGATGTGCACTAAACGCCCTAGCACTCCAGCAGTGCTCCTCATCCATT